ATTTTTCGATTGAGGTTAAGTCAAACATCGAATAAAAAAATGAACATTTCGAAGCACTTCACAGGACCTTTAAGGATATTAAAAACAATCAAGACATGTTAACCAGGTATTTTGTTGGAAATTAATTTAGTTTTACTTAACTAGAGCTATGGCTCTAGAAGATCATTCAAGAAATCAATTCTAAGATTTTCAAATTGCTTCGATTTCCCTCACCATCCTTTGGCTTAATTCTTGGTATATCCATGGAATGAATCACCAATTACTTTGCTTTATTTAAAAATTTTTATTTATTTATTTATTTTTTATTTATTTTTTTGCGGCAGATGCTTTTCTAGCCACAACCCTAAACTCTAACCTAACTAGTGTTGTCAAAAGTATCTAATTTGGTACCAATTGGTACATAATTTTTTTAAATATCTTTTCCCCGCAAACATTTGTGTGTACTTTTTAACACCGCTGATTGGCCATTGTGCTTATGTGCTCAACAGAAATGACTGTGATTGGCCGTGAAGGCCATTGGTTCACTATTCCTCATCGCTGTTCCCCAAGTGCAAAGACAGACACTGGAGCGTTTCGAAGTCACATTAGTCAGTCTGTTGCTATTTTAGTGCTGATTGGTAGCAAAGTCGATACTTTTGACAACCCTAACACCCAAACACTCTCTTTTAAGCCGCAACTGTACTTATTTTTAAGCAGCAGATGGTGCTCTAGGTTAGTTTTTAACCATGCATTTGTATACTCTGGAAAAAAATTGCTTTTGGGTTTAGTTGAGTCTGAAAAGTGGAATTTGACATCATGAGATTATTGTAAAAACAGCTCACCATGAACACTCCTGTAATTTGCTTAAACCTTTCCTAGACTTTATTAATGATTATATTAGGTTGAAGTGGTATTTGTAAGGAATTGGATGCAAGCAGAGTACTGCTGTCTGTAAAGCATACAGCACCATATATTGTTACAAATGAAGTTTTGATTCATTTAAGAGAGATTAGCAATTGCTTTGATCGAGTCAATGCAGAATTGATTTCTTGAACGGTTTTCACATTTTTTTTTTTACAAATCGTTTTAATTGTAAAATTGAAATTTTGACTGACAAAACTGTTATTAGCATATATATCACAAATATTTGGGGTGAAATAAAATTCAGAACAAACCGCAATATGCCCCCCACTCTAAAAAAAATAATGTTTGTTTGTATTTAAAATGAGCTGAAACGGCACAATTCCTGAGTTTATTTTTTGGGATAACTTATTTATTTTTTATTCGATTCACTTAAATTTGTAAAAATTATTAGGTTAATTTAATTTAGTCATGTTGTCCCAACACAAATCGATTGTGTGTAACCCCAGATTTTTTACAGTGCCCATAGTAGTAAGTACCACAATACTTAAATAGCGTATCGGAATACACGAACGAAACTGTGGCATCAGCATATGATTACATCCCTAATAATAACTATGAAATGTTTTCATCTATGACACTGACACGTCCAAATATGCAAGTAACGATGCCATCCAGCAGGATTGAGAAATATACATTGTGAAATATCATATACTCAAGATTAATTTTTAACCTATGCTAAATTATAAGCAGTGTGATCTGGGTTTTAGAATGGCCAAGGGTTAACGGGCAATATGAAGTGTAAAAAAAGCATCTTGTGTAAGAGTGATGCTAATGCCACAAATAAATGCGATTAAACACTGATTTGCTCAGAGTGGGTAAATATCTGGCACCCTTCCTGCCATTCAAGCGCGGTTGCCAGATTATCAGTCATCTGTTATTCTGCTTGATGTTCAGCATGTTTGATTCTTTAATTCGTCGCTCTAGTCAACATTTCAGCTGCTGACATAATGTTGCATGAGATTTCAAGTGCACGTTTGGGAAATAAATCTCTCATATGGGGTTCATTTGGAGGGTTTGAAGCGTAAAACTTTACTAGTGCATTGCAATGCTGAAATATTAACCACAATGTGTTTTTAATCAAAATAAAATAGCCATGTTTTCATTCAAATGCAACAATATTCTTTAAATAAAATGTTTATCATCAGTATTTTATCCTGTTTTGTCCTGTTAACTGGTGTAATACATGTTGCATATTGTAGACAGATCCATCCATGCATTGACTCTAAACTTTGAAGATAAAATCTGTGAGGGCGCATTTGTAACACCTGCTTGTTATCTGATTTGTTGCTTTCCTCAGTGAGAGTTTTGAACAAGTATGTCATCAGCCCAGATCTACAGGTTCAGTGACAACCACCTTTTTTTAAACCTCACATCAGCGCAATCATTTGTCATCAGAGCACTATTAATAGCATCTTCAGCACCTTTATGAGCAGCAGAGAAATATGTAAATGCTTTTAGATGAGTCATAAATATTTAAAACAGAAGAGCTGCAGTGTTTATTTTTCGGGAACATTTTACAATAAGGTTGTATTAGTTCATGTGTTTACTAACATGAACAAACAGTGAACAGTACATTTATTACAGTGTTTATTCATCTGTTAACATTAATTAATGGGGCTGTTCTGCTTTTAATAAATCCAGAAGACTTGTTTATGAAATGAACTCTTTTAAGGACATTTTAACAAAGTGAAATCAGAAAAGATTTTAGAATTTTTTTTTTATCATGCATCAACACTAAAATCTAATTTAATTCTTGTATTTATTTGTTTGTTGATTTTAAATAGTATATTTATTGTTAAAAGGTTCCTGCCATGAAAATAGCCTTGGTTGCTAACATGGCATTAAATAAAAAATACATTACATTACATTACATTAACATTAACATTAGTTAATGGTAATAAAGTTGTTCATTGTTAGTTATGTTAATTGTTAGCATGAATTTGGATTTTAATAACACATTAGTAAATGTCGAGCTATTATTAATAAATGCTGTCCAATTGTACTTGGTTCATTTTAGTAAATATGTTAACTAACATTAACCACTGAAATTTTATTGTAAAGTGTGACCTTTTTTATTTTAACAGAGTTAAAAAATGTTATTATTATTATTTTTTTATATAAATGAATGGAAATTGGACCTATTCTTATTTTTATGCCATATTTTTATTTTTTTCTATATGCTGCATTTTAGTAACAAAAATGTGCTATTATTATTATTATCATCATCATTAATATTATTATACATTTACTATTTATTAAGTACTTGCTAAATTTATTAAGTGCCATACTTCCATTTTCTCACACACACAATTACATTAAAAAATTGTGTAGAGATCATGTGTGTTCGCTCATTAAAATAAATCAATTAAAATTATTAAATATTATTTTTCTTCGTCTTTTTCTTCTTTTTTCATCTTTTTTGTTTTTCATCTTTTTCTTTCTTCTCCTTTCATCTTTATTTCTTTTTCTTTTTTGTTTTTTCTTTTCATTTTTCTTCTTTCATCTTTTCTTCATCTTTTATTTTTTTTATCTTTTCTGTCATTTTCTTAATCTTTTTCTTTTGTCTTTTTCTTTTCTTCATCGTGTTCTTCTTATTATTCATCTTTTGCTTTTTTTCTTTCTTTTTCTTTTTTTCCTTTTCCCTTTCATATTTTTTCTTTTTCTTTATTCTTTTTTCTTTTTTTCTTAATCTTTTGCTTCTTTTTCTTTTTCTTCATCGTTTTCTTTTTCCCTTCTTTCATCTTTTTCTTTTTTCTTTATCTTCGTTTTTCTTTTTATTCCTTCTTCTTTTTTCTTTTTTTTCATCTTTTTTCCTTCATCTTTTTTTCTTCCTTTTTCTTCAACTTTTGCTTCTTTTTTTATTTTCTTTTTCGTTCTTTTTTCTTTTTCATCTTTTGTCTCTTATTCTTCTCATTATTATTATTATGGATTATCATATTTTAAGCATTATCATATACTAAAACACACTACTTGATAAATTGCTGTGTAGAGATCATATGTGAACAGGCCCATTTTAAAAGATTATATATAAAAATCAGCAGAAATGCAGCAATTTACTGGTAATAAGCAATTTTACAACTTTTCATTCTGGAAGATTTTCAGAATTAGAAGTAATATTTCCAAGAAATTGTTGAAATTTTAAAATGTTATCTGTAAAGTTGTTGTTTTTTACAGCAGTTATTGATGACTGTGTAAAGGGAAGGGTTGGGCAAATGTCAAAAATGCAGTCTTGATCATTATTTTCTGTTTCGATTGATAACAGTATATATTTCAATATAAGTTGTTAATGCTTCCATTTTTTGAAGAGTATCCCAACCATGACTGTAGACCGATACTGCTGGCAAGAAAGAGAACTGCTGGCGGGAAGGTGAAACGAGCGTGCTAAACAATACTGGATGACACAGCATGACCGAGATATTTTCGGTGACCAAAAAATCCAGTGAATCTCTAATATCAACACAATTATAGATTTCTGTTGTTGCATATTTCTGCTGTGTGATTGGCTCTTAATTTCGAGTAAAAATGCCCAGAGCTTATCATCAATATCGACATCATATCGAATCTCAGTTAAATTGATCTTGTTTATAAGCCCAATCCCAGTAAAAGGGCTGAATGAATGCTTCTAAAATTAGTGTAATGACACAGTAAAAACACATTAAGTCATGAAATTCCAGATGTTGCACTCGTTTAATTTACCAACATAATATAAAGAAAAGATTAAGTCTATCGCTGAGGGATAATTACTGTATAATTAAAAATATATATCGTAATCTGCTGGATGTAGTGCACCTTATCTGCATTGCTACATCTGGAGATGGTTTTTACTAAACGTGCTCTTGGCCTACTCTCATCTCTACATAAAACATAATCCACTTGGTTCACTACACGCTGCATTGGAGAAAGCCAAACAGTGATTACGTCCTCCCCCACTGACCCATGCTTCATTGGCTTGGATTTATTGCTGGAGCTCATGATGGAGCTGCTAAATGTTCAGTGGCTCAAGGACATGTGGGTCTTATTCGGAGAGATACTGGATTGAAATGTTGACAAGTGTGATTGAGGTTGAGTTGTAATAAATTGTTATCTGTGTCTTTCAGTACGTTCCTGTATCTGAAGTTTCTGGTGGTCTGGGCGCTGGTGCTGCTGGCAGACTTTGTGTTGGAGTTTCGCTTCGAGTACCTCTGGCCTTTCTGGCTCTTTATTCGCAGTGTTTACGATTCCTTCAGATACCAGGGCCTGGTGAGTCTCTGTGTGTGGATATGTATGTGTATATATACAGTTGAAGTCTTATGTTGAGGAATTATTAGCCCCACTACAGTGCATCCGGAAAGTATTTATACTGCTTAATCTTTCCACATTTTTTATGTTACAGCCTTATTCCAAAATGAATTAAATTCATTCAAAATTCTACACACAAAAACCCATAATGACAAAGTGAAAAAATATTTTTTTGAAATTGTTGCAAATTTCTTAAAAATAAAAAACCTGAAAAATCACATGCACATCAGTATTTACAGCCTTTGCTCAATACTTTGTTGATGCACCTTTGGCAGCTAGGACTGTGCAATTAATCGAAAATCCGATTTTGATTTTGGCTTGTAACGATTATGAAAAGCCATTAATCGAAATAAACGATTATTCCATCACGTACCGCCCCCTTTCCAGTTCTACACGTGTGAAAACTCTTTGCCTCTGCAAAGCTCAGTTCCACGTGAAAATGACTAAAAGCATGTGCTGTAATGTAACTTTTGCAGCACGGGATGCGCATCTTTCATAATTTTAAAAGCGCAAAAGAGCACGTTGTGTGTGTGCGCGCCGTGTCTGGCCTCGGACAGGTAGCGTGTGTGTGTGTTTGCGCGCGCGCCGCGCTTAGCCTCTGTCAGCAGAGCACACACACATCTAACGTGTTCTTAATGTGAGCGCTTTAATGGTGAAATACATGCACACACTTGTGTCGGAGCCCTGTGTTTAGTGATTATTCATATTAACCCTCATTTGTTTAATAAACTAACAAGTTGAGAATCAAAAGACGCGTGAAAGAGAAACCATATCAGAGCCGCACTATTCTTAAAGTGACAGCGTGCGGTATTCCTGCTGCTGTCGACTGTTTTTATTATTAATCAATAATAAAATCAAAAATACAGTGAAGATGCTTAAAGCACAGTTTAAACATAACAGATTTAATAACTCATTTCTAAAAACTGATTACTTTTATCTTTGCTATGATGACAGCACATTATATTTTACTAGATGTTTTTCAAGATACTAGTATTCAGCTTCAAGTGACATTCAAAGGCTTAATTAGGGTTAATAGACAAGTCATTGTATAACAGTAGTTTCTTCTGCAGACAATCTAACATATATATTGCTTAAAGGGTCTAATAATATTGAGCTATTAAAATAGATTTCAAAATATTCAAACCTGCTTTATTCTAGCTGAAACAAAACAAATAAGCCTTTCTCCAAAAGAAAAAAATATTATAGGAAATACTGTAAAAAAAAACAAACCCTCTGTTAAACATAATTTGGGAAATATTTATATATAAAAATAAATTCACAGGAGGACGAATAATTTTGATTTCAACTGATAATAGTTTTGGATAATCGTGATTACAATTACGACCAAAGTAATCGTGATTATGATTTTTCCCATAATCGAGCAGCCCTATTTGCAGCAATTACAGCCTCAAGACATTTTGAATATGATGCCACAAACTTGGCACACCTGTCTTTGGGAATTTTTGCCCATTCCTCTTTGCAGCACCTCTCAAGCAGGTTGGGTAGGAAGCGACAGTGCACAGCTACTTTCAGATCTCTCCAGAAATGTTCCATAGGATTTAGGTCTGGGCTCTGGCTGGGCCACTCAAAGACATTCACCAAGTTGTTGTGAAGCCACTCCATTGATATTTTGGCAGTGTGCTTTGGGTCATTGTCCTGCTGGAAGATTAACCGTCGCCCCAGTCTAAGGTTAAGAGCACTCTGAAGCAGGATGTTTCTGTACATTGCTGCATTCATCTTTCCCTCTATCCTGACTAGTCTTCCAGTTCCTGCTGCTGAAAAACATCTCCACAGCATAATGCTGCCACCACCATGCTTCACTGTAGGGACGGTATTAGCCTGGTGATGAGTGGTGCCTGGTTTTCTTATTACGTTTGCTTCTGGACGATTGACCAAAGCACATTTCAAAAAATAGCTATAATTCATGTGGGCAAGTAAAACAGCATTGATTATAGTACTTATTACACTAGTCTGTTACTATGGTATTAAAGGCTACAGTAAACAGCAAAGCATTAACAGTAATAAGAGTACAGTACATTGTAATAATACATATAATCTGTTGATGCATCTCCTATGGGTTTGCTCTCAATCAATAATCCTTTGTTTAATATCTGTGAGGGACATAAACTGCTGTTTATACCGTGACTTATCTGTGATTAAGAGATTTCTCCATGCTTAGAGAAGGTTTTCCACCAGCATTCTTTCAGTTTATTGCTTTGCAACAAACAGCTGTGTGAAAATAAAATCGAGGACTTAAAAAACAGAACTATAAATCATAAATACAGAGATTATTTAAGTAAATGAATTGCGACAAATGCAAAAATGTGTAGTTCTGACTATCTAAAAATAAAAAGTAAAATTAAATATATTTTAAAAGACAATTTTTATTTATCAGATCTTCATATAATAAAGAAATGGTATTGTTTTTGTTCAAAACTATATTTAACAAATCCATATATCATTTACAACAAAATTTTAGGGCTGCAACTAACGATTATTTTAATAATTGATTAATCTGTTGATTATTTTTTCGATTAATCTGAACCAGATAAAAAAAAAGCATTAATTCCCAACCGTTTATTTAAAAAAGCTCATCCCTGATCGGTTATAATAATAATAATAATATTAATAATAATGATAATAATAATAATAATAATAATAATAATAATAATAATAATAATAATAAAAGTAATAAAATAATGAAACAATCCAAAAATGTAAATACTTTTTAAATCAAGATACATACAAGACACATGAAATAGCATAAAAAATTATGTCTTGTTTTCTGAAAAAAAAAAAAAAAACACCTCAAAATTAAGTGATTGTTCGCTTAAAACAAGGTACATTATTTGTGAATTGGGTAAGAAAAATTAATCTTAATGAGATATAATCTCAAACAGAAGTTTTACCAGTTCTCATAAATGTGCAAGTGATCGTGATCTATAACGTGAGATGGTTGTCGCCATGTTTACCTGCGGCCGCGCGTTTGCCTTATTCATAAAAGCAGAACACGCAGGATTTCGCAAGTAAATTCACCAGTTACTCCCCAAATACATGCAAGTAAGTGGCTGGTAGCCTTAGAGAAGAGTAGCTTCAACTTTATAGTTACTTTCACTATGTGTAATGTGTGTCTGATATGAATAAAACACATCGGCAAGTTATATTTGAATGGATTGTTAGACTTCCTTGTGTGTTTTACAAACTCTAAATGTATTTTTTTACTAGTTCGTGTTTGTATTAACATGTCAAAAATATAAATTAAGGATTAAGCGGTTAACACACTGCATAATTTTGATAATATAACCCGTCTTTCTCAGCAGAGTTAAGTTGGTTTTGTTTTGGGGAAAAAAAAAAGGAAGCACTTTTCCGACAGTCCCTTACTGAGAGGTCTGCTCAGCGCGAGCTCTCTTTGGCTCAGTGCCAGACACAGCACCAAAGCTCAGTTAAACTTTTTCAGTTGCTGCTCTAAAGGTAAACGAGCTAATGCTAACTTGTCATGCTTGTCAAGCTGGATAATCAGCACCAGGGACTGTACGGTCCTCACTTCAAAACGGAACAAAAGTAGGACCCTGCTGTTGAACCCTCTTTTTTCCTTATCCCTGTCTTTGAGGTGCGGAACTCTGTATCAGTGTGCGAGAGAGACTGTGTTCACTCAGCTTCGAACTGAACTTAAGTGTTTTTTTAAAAATCAAATGTCCCAGTGTCGCGCGACACAACGAATCGATTATGAAATTCGTTGCGAACGCTTTTAGTAATCAATTTTTATTCATTTAATCGATTCATTGTTGCAGCCCTAGAGTACACCCCGTTTTAAAAATATATTTTTTTATTTATATTCTCAAGTAGGTAATATATTTTGGTGCATTTAAACAAAACAGATTTATTAAACAGATATATTTATTTAAATAATATTTTAGTTACCGAACATTTTTAGAAATAGAAAAAAGATGCATTTAAATTCATACCAAATATTTGAAAAAAAAATTACAAGCTACAAAAATTTCATCGTTTTTTGTATCTCTTGATTTTTGCTCTCTTTACATTTTCTTTATTTAATATTTTTCCCTAACATATATAAATTTGAGTGTACTAATTTTGGACCGTTATCATAAGTTATTTTGTTAGATTAGCTTCAGTACTGTATAATCTAAATTTACATACACAAGTATAATATTGTAAAGCTTCCTACAAAATAATATTAATTATAAATCTTGAGCACTGTATGCATTTAGAGAAATTTTTAAGTGATTATCTTCATAGCCGTGTCTCTTAAATAATCAAGGAAACGACATAATAATTATGAAAGTTGTGAAATTTGTTATATATCGAAATCACGATATATCACGATATCGAAAATGGTATAGAATATCGATATTTTTTTAAATTCCAGTATCGTGAAAACAGTAGATCACCCAAATGCTTAAAGTTTTGTGCACTGTTTAAATAACACATCATCTTGTTTACAGCAGAATGCTAAAATTGCTGTTCACTCTAGTGTTGTCAAAAATATTGATACTGAAATATGTTTAAAAAATGTACAATATTGTTTTTGTTTAGTATAATACTAGCTTTGCTCTCTTGGACTCTCACACCACCAGAGAGATACATAATTAATAATAATATTACTTTTTGTTATATATTAATTATATTATTAATAATATTAAAAAGATTTTACCGCTGTTGTTTTAATCAGAAAATAAGATGTGATTGCGCTAATTTTTACATTTGTTTTTATTGTAATTTAATGCCTTTTGGACTTGCATGAAATAAGCATTATATGGTTTGGTTACATTTTTCTCTTTTTACTTCATTTGCATATTTTTAATGTTGTGTAATTTGTTCCCCACGGTATCCAAAATGGTATCAAATTCCGATATTTTTTTTAAAGATATCGAAGTTGTAAATTTCAGTATCGTGACAACACTAGTTCACCCAAATGCTTTTTTATGTACACTGTTTACTGTAAACATCTTGCTAGTTGCACATCTGATGATCGGATGCATCTCTCTGTGTGTTTCAGGCTTTCTCAGTGTTTTTTGTGTGTGTGGCATTCACATCAGATATTATATGTCTGCTGTTCATCCCAGTACAGTGGCTGTTCTTTGCAGCCAGCACATACGTGTGGGTACAGTACGTCTGGCACACAGGTAAGAGTTTCACATCACTCGTTATAGCAGTTATTAGTAGGGCTGCAGGAATATTGGATACATTTCATTTTTTCGCGATATGAACACAGCTTCACAAGATAGTTTGAAGAGCTGTATTTGACAGCTTTCTGGGGAGTCTAACAGTATTTGGGTACAGAAACCAAATATCAATGAAAAAAAATATTTTTTTTACTTTGCTTCGATTCAAGTCCAAATATCTACAAATTCTGAGATCAAGTAGTTTTATTTTCACCTTCAGAAGAAATAAGTCACAATTAAGAGCTTTTAGTTTTTCTTTAGAACAAGCAAAATGATTTGCCAATGGGATTAGCAAAATAATATTATTTTCACTTTGAAATGTAGATTTGGATCAAGACAAAATATTATAAGTAAAAAATTTTTTTTTTGCATAAACAGTAAACATAATTAAATACAGCTCACCTTTGTTACTCCTCCAAGCATCATAATTTTTCTGTGTCTAAATATTATTAAAGGGCCATGAAACCCCCTCGTTTCAGCAGGGTGTTTTCACACCTCTACTTTGGAAAAAGTCAAAAAAGTGGGCGTGTCCAGCTCTGTTTAGGGGGAGTGTCGGAAGAACTAAAGTGGGAGGTGTGGGAGTGTCTATTTGGGCACACGCGAGTTTCAGAGTCAAAATAAACACAGAGGAGAAAGTGATGGTGTTTAACCTACATGGACATCTGTAGTCGAATTATTTGCCAAATTATTAAATGTTGGACTTTAACTGCAGTTTGGCTCTTTCATTCAGGGAATTCATTCATGTCCCTCGCGACAAACAAGATATTTGATTCGAGGAACTGCTCTAAGCGTGTATTTTTCATGCAATGTTTCATACTGCACGGCAAATGAGAGAAAAAAACCCTCCGCATTTCCCGGAAACTTAGCTGCACACGGCAGGTAGCGTCAGAAAGCTGCGTGTGTTATTCCGGTCACTAAATGCGGTAAAAACCCTACACGAGATTAAAGTTTGGTTGTGGTGCTAACATGTGTACAATCGGTGCAATAGTAAACTTAGTTCGATACGAACAAACTGAATAAACAAAGAGTTTATTCTTTGGTAAAACTCACTTACCAAATCTGTAGAGACAGGACAATCACCAGCAACTAGAGCTGCGTCTTTATTAAGAGAAGACTACAAGCGAATGCGGATCTCAGCGTTTGCAGATGAGAACAGCTCTCAGGTAAACAATAATCCTCCTTAGACACGCAAGTTATTGTTGTCGAGCATCGCGTACACTGTTAATCCACACATGACTCTGAGCTCTCACAGATAGAAAATGAAAACAAAACTTAACTGCAGCAAACTTTAAAAGCAACACTTTACGCTTGTTTTGCCAACACAACGTGGCGTCTCTGTCGTGTAAATACGGTGACACTTATGAATATTAATGAAGTTGCACAATAGAGTGCGCTGATTGGTTTGAACCAAGCTTTACTCATGCATTAATGCATTACACTGTAAGACGTAATAAGACTCACTCTGGCACAGACGCCCAGTCTGCACGCTGGAATACAACGCTATTATGTCATGACCGTAACGCAGCTTCAAAAAAACGTTTCAAACCAGAAGTACGAATTTGCTTGAAATAATGCAAAAACAACCAATTTACACTTATTAGTGAAATATAGGTGTCCTAATAGTGTTTTTAGCAGTGTGGGACACATATACGCCTGTCAACAGCTCAAAACATGTGTTTTGGTGTTTCGTGACCCTTTAAAACTCTCTTTAAATGTACAGCCACAAGCCCCTTTCACACAGTGATACCGGTAAATATCCGGAAAATTTCCAGAACGACTTTACCGGTAAATTCAAAAAAGCGCTGTTCACACAGGCGAGGACGTTACGAAATTTTTCCGGAAAAGAGCATTCACACATCCATTCCAAAATAGCGATAAATTCTGACATCATTAACCAGAAATGACATCTAAACGGCTGCGCTTGTGTTTGTAAACATTTGACTAAATTACAAACTCTTTGGATAGATCAGTATTGTGAACAACTTCAATGAAAACACATAGAGAAACACTTTCGCATGTCGAGAAGTACATGATATGTGTGTGTGCTGGCGCTATGGGCACTCACGGGCACACGCAAAGCTTGAAGGTAAACAAACAACGGATTATCATAAACATTTTATCAATAATTATTTAAACAGTTAGCATTAAGAAGGAACATAGAAACGTTATCTGACTAACATCTAGCAGCTAAAGGTGTCTGGAAAAATATTCAAAGGCTTTTATTCTCATAAACCGCGCTCACGTGAATGCGTCTGACTGTTCTGATTGGCTAAAGTAGACGTCTCACGTCAGCACGTTCTAGACGTGCACGCGCTCTTTCCGGCAATCTTCCTTCTGCATTCACTCAGCGCTGCATTCCGGCAAATTACCGGTAATGTTACAACTTCTGTTTCCGGAAAATACCCAGAACGAATTTACCGGTATTTTCAAAAAGGGCCTGTTCACACATACACACCTTTCCAGAAAATTGCCGGTAATTTTCCAGAAAGGTCTGTATGTGTGAAAGGGGCTACAGGCCTTAAAACATATCCAATGATAAACTTTCACTCTATTATGGTTAAAGGTGCTGTATGTACGTTTTTGACTCTTGTAAAACATAAAAAATACCATAATATGTTTGCAGATATTTAAAAAACATGCCAAGTGAACATTCTTGTTTATCTGAAAAACAATGCTGAAGTCAGTCTCAAAGCATGGGCCTGTGACTGAAATGCGATCTCCAGTGGACAGTAGCAGATTCAGAGTTCCATATAAGGGTATTAATTAGCAAATAATATAAATATTATGAAAGTAAACATTAGTTGAGCAGGTTACATTTTAACCCCCTGTCCTAATAACACCCTACGTGACAAGATACACAATGATAAGCAATTTGGCTGTTTGCACCAGACGAAATATGACAGAAGTTTAAAAACAGCCATTCAGAAGCACAAAATAGTGCACTCACACATGAAGTGGTAAGATTTATGTTCTAATTAATACATATTACACCTCTTTAACATTATTAAATGTAGAGTCTCAGTTCTAAAGCCAAATTTCAAACGGTTTATTTTATTTTCAAGATCTGAGGTGAACTATCTGCTGCTGCTTTCAGTGGTATGGCAATAAATGTCGTGTAAAATGGCACTAAAACTCACATTATTAAGATTTAACACTAAATAAAGCACATGAGGTGTACCTGAGGTGATCATTGTCAAAGTTTTGTTGTTCTAGAAGCTTCTAGAAGTTTACAAAATATAAATTCCAGGTGTTGGTTAGAACAAAAACTAATTTAATATGGAAAATATTCCTTCTGTTGTGTGCCAATGCCTTTATTTAGAACACAATTTAAATCAGCTTTAAATCAGCCTTTAGGCTCGATAGTTTGGCACACTTCTGTTGGTCCTCAATCTGGCAACCTGCATTGCATGCATTTTAATCCAGGAATGCAATACCTAGTTCAACCACTGCGTTTCCAACTTACATACTGCACTTTTAAACTTAGCAGTGAGGTCAACTATGATTTAGACTCGTAATCTGCCTTTTTGTAAAATAATTTTGTATTATATGTCCTTTATTTTAATTTTATTATTATTATTATTATTTAGCTTTTTTGTTTCTGTATTTAATTACAATTAAATTTTATTATTTTTATTTTTATTATAATTTTTCAAGTAGGGTCCAGAATTCAAATTGTATGAATGATAGATAATAGCCCCTTTCACACATACAGACCTTTCCGGAAAATTGCCGGCAATTTTCCGGAAAGGTTGTATGTGTGAACAGGTCCTTTTTGAAAATACCGGTAAATTCGTTCTGGCTATTTTCCGGAAAGAGAAGTTGTAACATTACCGGCAATTTGCCGGAATGCTGCGCTGTGTGAATGCAGAAGGAAGATTACCGTAATAAGCGCGTGCACGTCTAGAACGTGCTGATGTGAGACGTCTGCTTTAGCCAATCACAACATTCAGACGCGTTTACGTCCGCGCGGTTCATGAGAATAAAAGCCTTTGAATATTTTTCCAGACACATTTAGCTGCTAGAAGTTAGTCAGATCACGTTTATATGTTCTTCTTAATGCCAACTGTATAAATAATCATCGATGAGATGCTTATGATAAGCCGTTGTTTGTTTACCTTCAAGCTTTGCGTGTGCCTGTGAAAACAGCCTGTGAGCGCCTGCACACGCACATATTATGAATCTCGACATGCGAAAGTGATCCTGCGAAAGTTGTTCACAATATTGATCATCCACAGAGTTTGTAATTTATAGTCAAATGTTTACAAACACAAGCGCAGCCGTTTAAAGCTCATTTGTAGTGAATGATGTCAGAATTTACCGGTATTTTTGGAATGGATGTGTGAATGCTCTTTTCCGGAAAATTTCCGTAACGTCCTCGCCTGTGTGAACAGCGCTTTTTTGAATATACCGGTAAAGTCGTTCCGGAAATTTTCCGGATATTTACCGGTATCACTGTGTGAAAGGGGCTAATATCTGACTCACTGTCAATTTCTGACGTGTTTTCATTAAAAACATTCACAAAAACATTTTTTGGGAGAAAGGGAAAAAATATATATAATATATTTATATAACATATAATATATTATATATATATAACATTGAAGTTTCTGCTGCGGATGTGCACGTTGCGATGTTGATTCTGAAACAATATATTGTGCAGCCCTAGTTATTAGTGTCCTGAAATGTTTAATTTTGCTGTTAGTGATGACTAACCTCAAGCTTACAGCTGATTGGTCTGTGGTTAGTCAGCATTTATGACACTTCCGCTGTAGACTTGTTCACAGTGTTGGTCTGGTTTGGTGTGAACACACTTGACTTCTTCTCTAGTCTCTTTAATCTTTTTAAAACAATTTCACAAGCTGCGTTCTCAATTTGGACTCAGTCACACATCAATTATAAAAACTCATGAAGATCCTTTCCATTGCGTTTGTTGTCATAGCATGGTGCATTCTCACTTTATAACACACCCTGTGACCTTGCAGCTGTGAGCTTGGTTATTTCTGACGGTGTGACCCAGCAGATCGTTATTTTAATGTCAAAATCATTTGCTTCAATTGACTCATTTGCTTTAAATCATTTATAGCTCAATTTATATTTCAAGCTCATGGGAGTCAGACACAATATTCATTCTTTTTCCACTGCAGCATGACTTTATATTCTATAATGTACATTATTTCTGTTAAATGATGATCCATTTTTCTAAACAAAGGCATACCTTTCTGTCTTAATTAAATATTGAAAAATCAAGGCATGATCATATTTTATTTTGGTAAAACAAGCATAATCTAGAGGCCTTTGCCTTTCATATAAGCCACTTTTGATACCAAATGATCAACTAGAAGTCAAGTTATTATTTGGTGTTCCTAAAACTTAATAGGCGACAAGACTTTTGGAACTTTTAGGAACTGAAGAGAACAAAACATACATATTTTTTATTTTTTTATTTATAAATAAATTACAATTATTTAAATCAATAAATAAATGCATGTACATACAATATAAAGGTATCAACACAATACTATATTATTAGCAGGTGAGACAAGTTATATGGACAGAAGGTTTATAAACGGTTTGCCTTCTGTTGACAAAAGAATATATTTTGAAGAAGCTGAAAACTTGTAACCATTGACTTCCATAGTAGGAAAAACAAATGCTATGGAAGTCAATGTTTACAGATCTCCAGCTCTTTTCATAATATCTTCTCTTGTGTTCATCAGAAGAAATTCAAACAGTTATTTTTTTCCCAGCACACACAAATAGCCCTAAACTTATTAAGGTTTGGAACCATTTGAGGTTGTGTAAACTGAGTAAATTTTCACTTTTGGGTGAACAGTACTTTAAGTTGAAATGTTTTAACATTTTTTGTTGATTTAAAGAAAGTAAAACCATTTTGGAAAGTTAAGGAGGAGTAAACAATGACAGAATTGTAATTTTTTGGTTGAACTATCCCTTTAAACACTTTAGAAATAAAAAGGACTTCACCTTTTTTTTCTTCTTCAAACTTTGTAAAATATAGTGGGGAAATAAAATTAGTGAAAGTTCACCTCAAATTGCTGACCTGATTTTGCTATGAATTTTCCATTTAGTGATCATGAGAACCGTCTTGCTCACTCACACATACTGCATGTGAGTTGGCAACACCCACTTATTTACATATAACAGTATGCACATAAAGCAAAAAAACTATTACTGTTGACAATTTATTTCACTGTAATAATATGCTATCATACAGCTCAGCCCTAACTTACATGCAATACAGACCTACCCGAAACCTCTCCTACAGGTTAACAAAGCATTTCATGAAGTTCAGCCATGATAGTTAAACGTGTATGTTAATTACATTCATAAATGGGCCGTGAGAGCACGCTCTTTCGTAATTAACGGAATCCCCGCCTAAAACTAAACTATGTAAATTGCTTGTCTTCTGGGCTCATGTTGATGGTTTGGCTTCAGTATATTTCATAAATGCAAAAAAGACTAATATGCCATATGTTTAACGATAAATATTCAATGAGCGTTAGTCTACTAAAGCGTTTTTAGCCATGTGACATCAAAATGCCTTTTAAAATGTCCAGCTGGTGGTGCTTGAAAGCTTTGTGTTTTTCCAGCTGAAATGCTTTGGCGACTATGATTTGGAATTCATGGCAGTAATGCATTATTAGCATTTCATTTTAAAAATGCTATTGAATATAAAACTCCAGTAAGTCGTAATGTTAACTTCTACTTTGTTATAATTTTACCATGCCCGTTTCTAAAAACATTCAGCTGGTGGTGCTTGAAAGCTTTGCGTGTTTTTCCAGTTGAAACGCTGTGATTACAATGATTTGGAATGCTCTGTAGTAGAGGTGTAATGGATCCCGTGTGATCCGTGATTCGATTACAACCCACAGTTTGGAACACAAGTGACCCGCAGATTAGGCTAATCTTTTTTTTTTTTTTACTTGGATTAATCCCAAAAATTTTATTAATCGCAGAAAGATTCTCGTGTACTTCAAATCACATGTATTTAGGCTTTCCTGTAAAATATTCTGATGATTAAAGAAGCTGTGGTAGGTTATTCGGGATGCGTTGGCTTTTTAAAGGTGTTTTCTGTCACTGCTTGTTTAGCTTGCATTAATGCATTCAGTGTAAGCTGCACAATTAATCATTAAAAGATTGGGATCTCAACACCCACGCAACATAAATTATAAATGATTTTGATTTGCATACGTTTATTAATTCTTCGAATAACTACATTGAAACCTGTGTTTGAAAAATGCAAAAATAAAGGAAGAGATTGAGTCTTTAGTCTTTTGAGTTAGTAATGAAGTTAAAAACAGTCAAATAACACAGAAGTATGGCGATAACAGTCTATAGTTTAGATAATCACTGATGTTTATGGTAAAGAATAAAGTCACCATCATATACATTAACTTGACGGTAAAAAAATGAATGTTGTTGACAGGAATTACATTTTTTTTACCAATAGGTGGCGACAACCAGCCATCAAAAATATGTCATTGAATAATCCTTTAAAAATAAACATTTAGCAAGGAAACACAAAGTTTAATGAGTGAATAACTGAATCATTTATTGAAAATTAAACAAAAAAAATTCTGTGTTGTACAAATTATAATGTTAGATTTCTACATTTAGCATTACCAGAAACAGTAGTAATAAGCGTGAATTTTTCACAGTATTGAATATTTCAGTATTTATTTTTATTCAGCTGAATATTTTTATAATTTATTTGTAATAATATTACAGGTTCTAAGTTCTGTTCGTTAAAACCAAAAGTGTCTTGCAGTGCTATTTATGTAATAAATGGAAAGCAAATGACATTTGTCTCCTCCCCTCTGATCCGAAAAATGGCCTGATCCATTACTAAAAAAACCATAATATAATCCAAACCATGAGATTTGTGATCAACCACACCCCTACACGGCAGTAATGCATTACTAGCATCTCACTTAAAAACATAGTAATGATGACTTTTCCTTTGTTGTCATTGTACTGAAAGTGCAGGATTGGATGGCAGGGTAAAATGTGACAGTGACGAGCACCATGGTTTAGTTATCAATTCTGTTTTATTATATGATCAAAATGGGACAGTTCACACAAAATTTTTATTTTGTGATTTATTACTCATGTCATTCCAACCCCGCCAGGCCTTTGTTCATCTTCTGACGACAAATAAAGATATTTTAGATAAAGTCTGAGACCCTTATCCTCCATAGACAGCAACCATGACCAGAGAGGAACCAAAGACATTGTCAAAGCATTCTGTGTTATTTTAGTGGTTTAACTATAATCAAACAAAATATATATATACAGTTGAAGTCAGAACTATTAGCGCCTCTTTGATTTAAAAATAAAATAATTATTATACATTTTCCAAGTAATGTTTAACAGAGCAAGGAAATTTTTCAGTATTTCTGATAATGTTTTTTGTTCTGGAGAAAGACTTATTTGTTTTATTTCGGCTAGAATAAAAGCAGTTTTTATATTTTTAAAAGCCATTTTAAGGTCAAAGTTAGTAGCCCCTTTAAGCAAATTTTTTATCCGATAATCTACAGAACAAACCATCGTTATACAATAACTTGTCTAATTACCCTAACCTGCCTAGTTAACCTAATTAACCTAGTTAAGCCTTTAAATGTCACTTAAAACTGTATAGAAGTGTCTTGAAAAACATCTAGTCAAATATTTTTTACTGTCATCATGGCGAAGTTAAAATAAATCAGTTATTAGAAATGAGTTATTAAAACTATTAGGTTTAGAAATGTGTTGATTTTTTTTTTTTATCTCCGTTAAACAGAAATTGGGGAAAAAAAACAGAGGGGCTTATAATTCTGACTTCAACTGTAAAGTGCATTTACATGTGGTAGAGAGCAGTTGTAAATTTCTTCTTGTGCCAACTATTATATTTCGAAAATACAAACACCTACAAATCTGAAAACTTGCTTTAGTACAGCTTCATGATCGATTTATTAAAAAAAAATTCTGCTCGAGTTTCATGAATTAAGCCCATTGTGCTTAGAACTGAAGATTCACCCATAAAGTAATTAGTGTAATTATCACAGTCACTCTTCATTGTTGCTTTAAGTATTTTAAGCGTGTGTTGAATGGATTGTTCTCTTCTCTCTACAGAACGAGGGGTCTGCCTCCCCACTGTGTCGCTATGGATACTTTTTGTTTATATCGAGGCAGCTATCAGATTTAAAGATTTGAAACACTTCCACGTGGACTTGTGTCGTCCTTTTGCAGCACACTGGTACGTCTTTTTCAACATCGAATCATCTACATTGACAAACCAAATGCTGATATTTTGAGCAAGTCTCTGCTGGGTGGCCGCTACTCATGCTTTTATTACAGTAAGGGATCGTATATGACCTGTTTCACTGGTACTGTAAAAGCAGAGTTTGTGTTCAACAGAACAAGTTATTAATCAAAAATCAAATGTTAATGCTTTGTCATGGCATGTTTTTACTTTCAAGCATATATTTCATGTAGTGTGTTAGCATTTATCCGTGACCAAAAATCATGTTAGAATAGCAATGTTTAACAGTAATTAAAATACCAAGAGATGGCAAATGATTGTGTTATAATTTGCTTTTTAAAAATGGTTTATGACCTTTGAACGGGAAACCCTAAGCAGGTTTTCCTAACCAAGTGTAATAACAAAACAATTTGTAGCACTTTTTTGGATGAATTAAAAGTATAATTTTGGAATTGTTAAAGGTTCAAAGGTGAGATGATGTCATATTTTGGTTTTCATATCAGTTTTAATTGCAGTGTAATAATAATAAGTTTAAATTTTTTAATATAAATAGAAAATATATGCAATTCAAGTAAACATTCAAGTCTCCTTCAATGTTTCAGATATACTTTGTTAATCAGGGTGGCCGCGGGGTCTTAAAATGTCTTAAATTTCAAAAACAAAATTTTAGGCCTTAAAATGTCTTAAAATCACTGAAAGATTGTATTAAGTGTCTTAAATAATCTTAAACGGGTCTTAATTTTACTCTGTCCAAGTAAAGCTACTCAAATGGGATGAGTTCAATCCAATCGCCAACAATAATCTTAATAAAATCAAAGCACTTTACAGATTTTTTTGGGGGGGGGGGATCTCCTCATCCACCTCCATTGTGCAGCATCCACATGGATAAAGTGATTACAGCCATATTGCACCAGACTGCACACCACACACCAGCTGATTGGTGGAAAGGAGACGAGTGGTTTGATAGGCGAGTGGTTAGGAAGCCATGATGGACAGAGGCCAGGATGCCAGGGTTAAACCCCTACTTTTTTGTTTTGAAGGACATCTTGAGATTTTTAATGACCACAGAGAGTCAGGACCTCGGTTTAACATCTCATTTGAAAGACAGCTCACTGAGCAATATAGAGTCCCAATCTACTGGGGCATTGGGACCCACACAGACCGCAGGTTGAGCGCCCCCTGCTGGCCTCTCTAACACCATTTCTCCCATCCAGGCCCTGCTTTTCTTCAGTGGGTGCCCATGTGAGAGTTGCTAAGAGTTATAGAAGGAATAGAAGTTATACTCAATAAATTTGGACCAAAAGCCTACAAACTTATATTTTAGATTATTTATGTAAATTTTTTTTTACAATAAATATACTTTTAAAGATTATAAACTTGTCATTTAAAAAAAAGAGAAAGAAAAACTGTTGAAAAAAAATGTTTACAACTGCAGCTTTCTTATTTTGACACATTGAAGTATGTCACTAAGAAATGATTAAATTCGTTTTTTTTTTTGTGGCCATTAGAAATAATCACCAGTGTTTAGTCCTGTGGTCTTTAAAAGTCTTAAATTTGACTTGATGAAACCTGCAGAAAACCTGTTGAAGGAAAATGCCAAAAATGGGTGGTTTTAAGGTTCATTGTCAAACAATATAATTAATAAAACATTTAATAGTGATACTATTTTATTTCATATGAAATGATTAAAACATAATTGATGTAAAATGGGTAAAACCCAGTGTTATTTTGAAGGACAGTAGTGAAAAGTATTGAAATAAGTTTTTTTTGTTTTTAAATTAGGACTGCATATTAGAAACATCTGACATTGCAATGTTATGTTTTTCTGCAATATATATTGTGATACACTGTATCTATATACAATTCCAGCAAATGATTGAATAGGACTATATGGAAAGAATTTTGTTTACACTATATTTTAAGATTAAATTTTTGCTTTTCGCAAACCATTATGACTTGCTTCAATAAACTCCCAATTTGCTCCTTATTAATAGTTTTTAAAGTAGTTTTGGTGTTGTGTGAGATTAGTGATGTAGAATAAGACCATACAAAATATGTAGTTTAAAAGTACTAATTGGCATTTCTCAAAAACATGCATGTGAGCAACTAATTAATAGTGATAATTGATCCGAAGTGTTACCAAAAAAAGGTCGCTGGTTCGAGCCTCTGCTCAGTTGGCGTTTCTGTGTGGAGTTTGCATGTTCTCCCTGCGTTCACGTAGATTTCCTCCGAGTGCTCCGGTTTTCCCCACAGTCCGAAGACATGCGGTACAGGTGAATTGGGTAGGCTAAATTGTCCGTAGTGTATGAGTGTGTGTGTGTGTGAATGTTTCCCAGAGATGGGTTGCGGCTGAAAGGGCATCCGCTGTGTAAAAACTTGCTGGATAAGTCGGTGGTTCATTCCGCTGTGGCGACCTCGGATTAATAATGGGACTAAGCCGACAAGAAAATGAATGAATGAATAAATATTACCAAAAGTAATCATTTGAATTAATTGAATCATGCATAAAATGTAGTAAAGCAAACCAACTACAAGCATAGATGAATGCAACTAAGCAAATATAAAAGTGAAATAAACAGTGCATGCTTTGTTGTTTTTTTATATGTAAATGTGCAAAAATTACAAGTCAACTCAACATTGCAGATGTTTGCGATGGGACATTGCGGATGCTCAGATTGCGATATAGATGCTGAAAGACTATATTGTGTAGCCTTAATTTAAACTTTAAACTAACCTAATGTACAGAAAAAATACAACCATATTAAAAAACTTAAAATATTGATTGTGTTGCAGAACTACTGAAATTATTTCAATCCAATTAAACCCTCTTATGTTTACTGTTAAATAGGTAATTTTCGGTACAGTCAGTGTTCACAAAATGAACATAAAAATGCTTTTTAATCCTATAAAAATACACAGGTTTTACCATAGCTTTTTTTCTTCAACAAAGCTAATCAAAAGACATTCTGTTTGTTCTTCTGTTTGCAGTATTGGGTACCCGGTGGTGACGCTGGGCTTTGGTTTTAAGAGTTATGTAAGTTATAAGATGCGTCTTCGAAAACAGAAGGAAGTGCAGAAAGAGAACGAATTTTACATGCAGCTGCTTCAGCAGGCCTTACCTCCAGAACAACAGCTCATACAGAGACAAGAGAGAGAAGCAGAGGAGGGTAAGGATGGAGAATTTGTTCATTTACCTCACGACAATGAGGTTGCTTTGAATTATTTCTTTTTTTTTTAAATAATGCAAAAATACCACGTTTCACTTGATAGTGAAATAAATGTGTCCTGATAATGTTTTTGGCAACACGCCACACGTGTCAACATAGGGTTTCATGACCCTTTAAAGCTGTTGTATCTAGCTAGCATATCAAGTATAATCACAGAGTTATTCCAACATTAATGTTAACCCCTGTGTGCTGTTGGGGATGTTTACATCAACTCTGGGGTGATTTCTGAGTCTTAATTTGGCCACAACTTTCTCTGTTTCAGCAAATGGACTGATTGTTGGGTATAAATCTTATTTTGACACATATTTTGGGAAAATGCTTTGAAAGTTTTTTAAAAACTCAACAATACACTTCTGGCAAGTTTAGTACCGTTTCTTTATGCTGTTGGCATTGACTTAAAAAAGAAAGATGGTGCCATGACTCCATATTATCCTGCATTGTTTGTTGTTGGCTGTTTTCACTGTTGGGAAGAGGTCAAATTAATTGAACAATAGTTGCAGTGCAAAAAGGCTGAGTTTCTGTCTTTTATATGAAGTACTGTGTGTGTGTGTGTGTGTGTGTGTGTGTGTGTGTGTGTGTGTGTGTGTGTGTGTGTGTGTGTGTGTGTGTGTGTGTGTGTGTGTGTGTGTGTGTGTGAGAGTGTGAGTGGAAGAAAGACTTTTGCATACATATCTTTTCTATGAGAAAATTCAAGTAAGCACCTTAGCTTTCAGAGCAGTAAACATAGTAAATGTATTTATGCATGCACACATAATAGCCAAAACCCTTTTTTTGCACAGGCAGGGTTAATGAAAGGGTTAATGAATTTCATTAATTAATTATTTAATTACCTAATTCATTTCAAAGTTCAAATAAGTATTTTAGTAAAGGTTTAGTTTAGATCGGGGTGCCCAAACCTTTTTTATAAAGGACCAAAAATGTAACGTATGCATGCATAAATATACACAGCTGGAACAAGTCCTAGAGGAAACACTGTGTATGTGTATATATACAGTTGTAGTGAGAATTAATAGCCCATCTGAATTATTAGCGCCCCTGTTTATTTTTTTCCCCAATTTCTGTTTAACGGTGTAAAGATTTTTTTCAACACATTTCTAAACATAATAGTTTTAATAACTGATTTGTTTTATCTTTGTTTTGATGACAGTAAATAATATTTTACTAGATACCTTTCAGGACACTTTAATACAGCTTAAAGTGACATTTAAAGGCTTAACTAGGTTAATTAGGTTAACTAGGCAGGTTAGGGTAATTAGGCAAGTTATTGTATAACGATGGTTTGTTTTGTAGATTATCGAAAAAAAAATTAGCTTAAAGGGGCTAATAATTTTGTTCCAAAAATGTTTTTTTTAAAACTGCCTTTTTTCTAGCCGAAATAAAACAAATAAGACTTTTTCCAGAAAAAAATATATATAATCAGAAATGCTGTGAAAATTTCCTTACATAATTGACATAATTTGGGAAATATTTAAAAAAAAGTAAAAAAAAAAATTCAAAGGGGGGCTAATAATTCTGACTTCAACTGTGTGTATATATATGTGTGTGTTTATGCGCCATGGGTAATTTCCTAATTTATGTAATAATTTTTTTAAACAACTAGAAAATACTGATTTATATAAACTAATACAGTATACTATATTACAGTAAAAACAATCTCATATTAAACAGAATGAAGTTACACTAGTTTTTGGCTTGATTTGCTCATCAATGTCATTTGCATAGTCCTTTATTTGTGAAGTGACATTGTTAACATTTTAAAAACTCATTTACAACATATTATTGAAACATTTAATGTGCTATTTTTGTAGCTCAGCAATTATACTCCCCAACCCTCTCCATCATTCTTACTCTTTTTCTCACATGGGAGAGTGGGCCAAATCAAAGGTTACAATAGGCCAACTTTAGGCCGCGGGCCCTAGTTTGGGCATCTCTAGTTTAGAAAAAAAAATAATAATAAAATTGTTCAGTCTTTTTTTTGTAAGCCTAATCTTTGACCAAAATGGTTGTTACTTGTTCTTTTGCTTGTCAACCTTTACATGGTTTCCGTTATATTCATTCTTCCATGGCAGGGCGCCACGCCAAAATTGAACCCGCCACGGCTACATTACAGCTTCTCATTTAAACCATTTTATTTTTTTAATAGCGATAATAATCGCACTAAATCATATTAAAAATTAAGTGAATTATAACAGTGCAAACTTTTCTGTAACCGTAGTAGTGTTGTGCGTCATTTGTTTAACCCTTTTAGGTTAGGTACTGACTGACTGACAGGTGCATGATGCGTGTGGCCAGCAAACACGACGTATAGCCGTTTCACTTAACTTCAGGACACATTAATATCGCTCTGTAGGTCTATTAGAGACATAAACGCACTAAATTGCACTTCAGCAGCGTTCATTTGAGAGCGCACAAGAAGATCTGCACGCTCTTAAAACGGCTTATATTTGAGGGGGCGTGCAAGAAGTTTTGTGCACGAGTAAAGGAAATCGGCTCGTTATCCGCATGCTGTAGACTATTACATAAATGCGATCTCAACTTCTAATACTGCGCTCATGACATTTGTCATTGAAATAACGCCACGGGTAGATGGTAGATCTGTGCAAAAAAAAGGCCTGCCGCCACAGCTGGAGAAAAAATTCCTAGGGGAAACACTGCCTTTGTTCAAGTTTTAATTCTACATGTATTATTACATGTATGCATGTTAAAGTAATGTAGATGGGTTTCTGATTAATGTGGGTTTAATATATTTTAAAAATGTGGGTTTCCGAGAAACTAAAGGAAATGCTAAAATTGTTGCTACTTAGGGCTGTGCAATTAATCGAAAATCCGATTTCAATTTTGGCTTTTAACGATTATGATAAGCCATTAATCGAGATTAAGGATTATTCCATCACGTACCGCCCCCTTTCCAGTTGTACACGTGTGAAAACTCTTTGCCTCTGCAAAGCTCAGTTTCACGTGAAAATGACTAAAAGCATGTGCTGTAATGTAACTTTTACAGCACGGGATGCTCATCTTTCATATTTTTAAAAGCGCGAAAGAGCACGTTGTGTGTGTGCGCGCCGTGTCTGGCCTCGGACAGGTAGCATGTATGTGTGTTTGTGCGCGCGCCGCACTTAGCCTCGGACAGCAGAGCACACACACATCTAACGCCATCTTAATGTGAGCGCTTTAATGGTGAAATACATGCACACACTTGTGTCAGAGCGCGGTGTTTAGTGATTATTCATATTAACCCTCATTTGTGTAATAAACAAACGAGTTGAGAATCAAAAGACACGAGAAAGAGAAACCATAGAGCCGCACTATTCTTAAAGTGACAGCGTGCGGTATTCCTGCTGCTGTCGACTGTTTTTATTATTGATCAATAATAAAATCAAAAATACAGTGAAGATGCTGAAAGCACAGTTTAAACATAACAGATTTAATAACTCATTTCTAAAAACTGATTACTTTTATCTCTGCTATGATGACTACATTATATTTTACTAGATATTCTTCAACATACTAGTATTCAGCTTAAAGTGACATTCAAAGGCTTAATTAAGGTAAATAGACAAGTCATTGTATAACAGTAGTTTCTTCTGCAGACAATCTAACATATAAATTGCTTAAAGGGTCTAATAATATTGAGCTATTAAAACAGATTTAAAAATATTCAAACCTGCTTTTATTATAGCTGAAGCAAAACAAATAAGCCTTTCTCCAGAAGAAAAAAATATTATAGGAAATACTGTAAAAAACCCTCTGTTAAACATCATTTGAGAAATATTTAAATATAAAAATAAATTCACAGGAGGATGAATAATTTTGACTTCAACTGATAATAGTTTTGAATAATCGTGATTACAATTATGACCAAAATAATTGTGATTATGATTTTTCCCATAATCGAGCAGCCCTAGGTCCCCAATCCTTTACTGTTACAGTGAGGTAATGTTGCTATAATTTCCTTTTGGGATGAAGAACTCTGTTTAAACCTCTCTGTTTTTTCTTTTTTCAATTACCACCAGCAGCAGCAGCAGCGGCAGCAGCGGCATCCAAAAGCATTCATGATGTAGACTCTCCAGCTGTGGCACAGAACGGCTCGGCGGGCGGTAAAAAACCCTCATCCAACACATTACCAGAGCTGGAATACAGAGAGAAAGAGCGAGGCAAGAACGAGTCCAAAAAGCAACACAACCACAACCAGAACCATCACAGCAGCACCAGCAGCAGCATCTTACCATCAGTGGACAATAAAGCTCAGGAGATGGAGTACATGGAGAACCATGTGAACAGTAAGAGACTGAGTAGCTCAGATCTGCTGGGCAGCACTGAGAACCTGCTGAAAGATGAACACTCTTCATCCTCCTCATCCTCCACCTCCTCCAACTCCAACAAAAATTACAAAAATGCCAGCGGAGGAGGTGGAGGCGGCGGGAGCTCCTCACCTCGGGGGCATGGAACAGCCAATGGCAGCGTCCCGTCTTCCTCCGGGCCCTCATCGTCTGCCTCTTCGTCCAGTAAAGGGGACAGGAAACAGAAGTACGGAGGAGGGAAGAACTCCGCGTCGCACAGAGACCCTGTGGAAAACTGCATTCCCAACAATCAGCTGAGCAAACCCGAGGCGCTCGTCAGGTTAGACTCGCATCACACATCATCTCTGTCTCAAATCTGGGGATTCATGTTGAAATAATGTTCAAGAGTGTTGAGAAAAAGATAAATGATGGGGACCGGTTCACACTACAAGATGCATTTCACTGATATGATTGCAAGTGCATCAAGATTTGATTGCAAGTGCACCAAGATTTATACAGGGGTCGGTGCTGAAATAGTTAAAACATCCATATCCCGCTAACATTTGAGCGATGTTGAACACGTTCTTAAAGAGTTATGAAACGCCAAAACACACTTCGTATGTCACGGCGATAAAATCCTTGGTTAAATTGCAGCATGTAGACTGGATTTCTGTACTGGCAAGTATACTGTGACGTCTTTGAGCTTTCAGCATTAATTCAAGGGAAAGATTTCCAAGGCTTTCCAGACCGTCAATCAGCGCGCTCTATTGTGTATGAGATGCAACTTCATTAACATGCGTGATGTAGCTTTGAAGACTGTTTTTACCTGTTACGGTGTTCAGATGGCAGAGAAGAAGCCACGATGTGTTGCCAACTGTAATTAACCCTTAAATACCTAGAGGTATTTTGTGGGCACCTAATGGGCCTCTATTATTATTATTTTTTTAAGCAGTTTTATTTTCATTTTAGCAGTCAGCCTCAAGTGTCATATATTATTTTAAACAGAAGAACCTGAAGCTTCAATCTGTATCATTTAAAGGTCCAGTCGAAAATATTTTTTGGTCCAAAAACATATAAACAGACAGAAAGTAATCCAGAATTTAAGAAAACGGTTTTTAAAAAAGTGGCATTTTTTAGTTATTACAAACAAAACCCCATTAAGTTTTTTTTTTCTTTAGAAATGCATGCTATGATGTTTTATTCTTCCCAAATAAATTTTGTCTACATCCACCATTCCCTGAGCAAGTTTTAGCAATTTATTTCAATGTTATTCTAAGGTGTTTTTCAGTGGGAAAAAACTTGTGCATTTATTTACTGACAATGTGTTTGCCCACAAGTTCTGGAAATGAACTAAACAGAAAGATTGTTACAAAATAACAGAACATGGAAGCAAGTTTGACTTTTTCCAAATATTATATTTTCAGTTACCATAAACAACACCACTTACAATGAACAAATAAAAAATAAGAAAATAAGAAATAATGCGTCAAAGTCCAAATAAACAGGGTGCAAATCCTCAGTAAAAAGTTGGATATATAAATATTTACTATACTATAAATAGTTAGATAACTAAACTAGATTCAATATGGACCATCCTTAGGTTTTATGTGCCAGCATGGATATGGTGTTGACCCTGCTTCTTCTCAACTTTTGCATTGCAGACAAACAGCCACACCACCATTTGCGTCCTTTGAAAACAGCAAGACCAGCACTCCGTCCTTGCTGTCACTGTTTTGTCATGTTTTTGTGCTGTTTTGCATGCAAAAGTACTTAATATGAAAATTATTTCATGCAAAACTTTTTTTATTTTGCGTTTTATTTAGCCGCGCGTTAATCTACAGCCTATTTCTCATTCCGGGTTGTTCAAATAGCTGATTGGTGACCCACAAAGCAAAACCTATGCTTATTGGTTGAGAGAGAGCGATTTTGAACCAATCTGGGCATGGAGGAGGGACAATGCATCAATGCATTATGTCTGGTTCGTCCAAGCCACGAGCGTTCCTTAGTCAAATCAGCGTTGTCAAAATGTGATGAAGCAACCACACTAATTCCGGAGCCTCAGAAGTTTCGTGAATGCAATGTGATGGAAAGCTGAGATTCTCTTCTTTATGTCAATCTTTGAATTGTACGGATCGAATCAGCGGATAAAAAGTTATTAAACATTTAAGAACAATACTTATTTTTATTTAATGAAATTTATTTATTTTTTTTTCGTTTTGGTCTTTAAGGGTTAAAAGAAGTTGAAGAAGAATTGTTTGGAAACACGGGTCGTCAGTGTTGTGTTTATAAATGTGCCACAGTAAAGGTTTTGCTTTCAGTTCACCGATCTGAGAGCGCAGCTGGACTCACATGTGGACTACAGTACACGCGACAGAAATACGTTTGTAAGGAACATTTTTACCCGAGAGCTTTTCGCATCTGAACATGGTAAAATCTGGATTTGCCGCTCGTCTTCTCTTGTTGATCTTCGTGTTGATTGTCCTGTATCTTCAGATTTTGTAAGTGTGTGATGAATGTTCTTTATTTGTGTTTTTCAAAGGCAAAGTTAGTTTGTTTTCTTCAACAGTACTCAGTTTTTAAAGACATAGCTTATTCAAAATGAATAGGTTATTAAGTTCACAGTATGTTAATATCACTACAATATTATGGACTGAAAGATCTGCTGTAAATGCTGCTCTCCAAATGTCAAAATGTAAACACCTTAATCAAACAAAGTTACAGAGAAATGCTGAGGATTTTTTTTTCCCCTATTCGCCGTGCGGTATCAAACATTCCATTTAAAACTACACTCTTCCAGCAGTTTGGCACATCCAATATCTCACTTGTCACGGGGGAATGCATGAAATGTTCCTGAATGAAAGTGAAAGTGCCAAACTGTGATTTAATGACAGTGATTGGCTGCTGTTCACCTAGTGTACACACACATAGAGGGACACTGGAGTGTTTTAAAGCCACGAATCAGTCGATTCATCATCGGATCCCTCTTATGTCAGCACAGAGACAGACCTGCCGATTTTCGTGTTTTTTTTTATTTGATTACTCAATATCTGTGTCTGGCTAATAGGTATTACCAAAAGCTACAGTTGAAGTCAAAATTATTCTTCCTGTGAAGGGTGGCTCAGTGGATAGCACTGTTGCCTCACAGCAAGTATGTGTCTGGTTCGAGTCCCGGCTGTGTCAGTTGGCATTTCTATGTGGAGTTTGCATGTTCTCCCCGTGTTGGCGTGGGTTTCCTCCGGGTGCTCGGATTTTCCCCACAGTCCAAAGACAGGAATTGAATTAACAAAATTTAATTTTGCAAAAGTGTGTATGACTCATAGTGTGTGTGTGTGTCTGTGTGTGTCTGTGTGTGTCTGTGTGTGTCTGTGTGTGTCTGTGTCTGTGTGAGCATGCGAAAGTGTATGAGTGTTTCTCAGTACTGGGTTGGGTTGGTGCGGAATAGTTGGCGGTTCATTCTACTGTAGCGACCCCTGATAAATAAGGGCACTAAGTGGAAGGAAAATAAATGAATGCTTAAAAGAGCAAGGAATTGTTCACAGTATTTCCTATAATATTTTTTCTAGAGAAAGTCTTTTTTTTTATTTCGGCTAGAATCAAAGCCGTTTTATTTTTTTAAGAACAATTTAAGGTCAATATTATTAGCCCCCTTCAGCAATATTTTGTTTTCGATTGTCTACAGAACAAACCATCATTACACAATGACTTGCCCAATAACCCTAACTTGACTACATGCGCTGCAGTGTAGGCCTTGCACACGACTGACTCTGAGCTCCAGCAGTCACCCAGGAGAGCAGTGCACTTTGGACAGTTTATCAAGGATGTACCGCTGGATCACGTCTCATTATAGTTGTTAAATGTGATAATTGATTAATCTTGTCTCTACCTAACGACTCTTCGGTCTTTTGAATCTATCAGGTAACATGTCACAGCGTCAGTACACTGCTTCAATCTTTCACTTTTACCTTTTACGGGTGTCAAAAGTTTCTATGCCATTATAACGACACAGATCTCTCTGCTTATTCATGCCAAAGTCTCGCGGAAAAAGTGATTGACAGGTGGTAATCTGTGTAATTATCTTTATTTATTGATGATTTAGTTACAAAGACCATGCGGGTCAGGAAATGGTAGACCTCAAATAATTAATTTGTTATGAATTAATCCATTATTCATAAATAATTAATTCACCGCCGCTCACAACAGCGATGCCATTGTCCATTGCAATGTTTCACATTAGACATCATACGATGCCAAATTGGTCGACATCGCCATACCTTAACTGTCATCATGGCAATTATAAACGAAATCGGTCATTAGAAATAAGTTATTGAAACTATTATGTTTAGAAATGTTAAATAAATATTATTTCTGTTAAAGAGAAATTGGAGAAAAAAATATACAGTGGGGCTAATAATTCTCTCTTCAACTGTTTATATTTTCAGTATTTTTGAGTACATTTTATTCGTTTGATTTTTAATTTGTTTTTAGTTACCCATTAAGTTTTTTTAATGCAAATTGTCAAATTTCATGATTTCATAAATATGTATAGGTGTAATAACCTTATTTACAGCCATTCATGACTTCGCTCCCATTAAATGCACATCTAGAAATCTCAGCATGTACTTTTTTTTTTATTGCAGACATACTGCACATTTTTTCATACTAACTCCAAGATAGCATCAGTATGTATTTTATGTGATTTGTGCACATTTTATTACAGAAAAATGCAGACTAATTAAAAAAAATAGCTTTTTCTATTATTAATCCTCTAAAAAAAATAAATTAACCCGGAACTAATCCAGCATATGTTTTACAATGAGGATGCCCTGGCAGCTGTAACCCAGTATTGGGAAACAACCATACACACACCCATAAGCTGCATACCAAGTAGCACACTATACTCTATGCACTATGTACTTACGCACTCAACAGCATAGTACATGTATGTAGTGTCGTCCCAAATGGAATACTTTTTTTTTTTAACTAAGCTGAACTTCAAACCGTTTCCCCAATTATGTTTGATGGTCGCCAAATTGGTGAAATAAATGACCAAACTACCAAATAAAACCTGCCATGAGTATTATTCACTATCGGGAGGCGCTATAATCACTCTCGTAGGAGAATTTTGCTTTCACAATCCAAAATGAATAAATGAAATCAAGCATAAGCGCCCGAAAGCTCCACCCCTTCCACTATGTGAGCAAAGCTGCGGTCGTTGAATATGTGAAGTGTCCAACGTAACACACTTCATTTTACCGGTTGAATTAGTGCATCATCCAGGTAATTAAAGTGCACCTATTATTATTAGAGGTTTCAGTGTGAACGCACTACTTACATTATTTATACTACAAAATGCCATGAAATGGTTGCATAAGTATGCGATTTTGGACACACCTACTGTATACACTACAGCCAATTTAGCTTACCCAATTCACCTGTACCGCATGTGTTTTTACTGTGGGGGAAACCAAAGCACCCAAATTCACATTTAGAACATATAAAAGCAATATACACATCCAAAGCTTGTAGTTTATCACCTCCGCCTAAATGGATACAATAATTTATTTCACTTCACCTCATACTTCAGTTTCTCATCAAACTTGACCAATCAAACACTCTCTATTGACCTTATTCTAAAATGCGGAAGTGCGCCTGTTTTCGCGATTGTCTTAGAACTTCCGTTTCAGTCGCCTATGGGAGAAATGACAAGGAATAATAAACGGCAAAAAACGGTCAAACTACTTGCTCTACAAACAAATGTTTGCATGATTATACAGACCAAGTAGAATAATATAACAAGGAAGTATCAGTTTGCAACATCAAACAGTGAAACGAGCAGTTTTTAATGTCTAAAAATGAATGGAAGTGAATGAGACCGGAAGTCTCGTGCCAAAAAGATTCAAATGGCAGCGCCCGCTCGTCTGCGGAGAATAAGGTCAATAGCAGGGGTCATCAACTATATTTGTCAGAGGGCCAGAGTTTTACCAGACGGTCTCCTTGGGGGCCGGACTGCCAAGAAGAAAATCAAATAAAAATCTAATTTTGGCTTAACATTATGTTCAATGTTTATACTTTTTCCATTTCATTACAAACTGAAGGCATTTGATTCAGGCTCCCATCACCTATACCACAGTCAACCACTAGGAGTGATAGAGTTCTCCACAAACGCGGTGAAAATGCTGCCATTTGACGAGGCGGCCATTCAGAGCTAGCTGGCTGAAATTTAGGCCGCAGGCGATGTGAAGGCGGCTCTCCGGTGCTGAAAGCCTGAGCGCATTTTGGGTATCTTGTCCCGAGACCTATGACACATTGAAAAGTCTGACAGCGGCCAAGCCTGATGTGAAAACGTTGGTGTCAGAGGGGAAATGTAACTTTAGCCAATGATTAAGCACTGTGAGTAGCCCGTTTCAGCATTGTGATTTGAGTTCAAGTCCACTTAACGTTTCATTTGATGTGCGAACTTTATTTGTGACCTGTTTTGTTCTGGTACCAGGTTATTTATTTACCATGCTGTTTTAAGTTGTCAGGTCCTGTACTGAGGAGTCTGCTAGTTTCAAGCATGTTGTTGAGACTTAGGGTGCTTTCACACCTACACTTTTGTTTCGGAACGTATCTCGTTTGCCCAGTTAGCGCGATTCGATTGGCATATGTGAACAGGGCAATCGCGCTCTGTTCCGCGCCAAAGTAATCGCTCCGAGATCGCTTGAATGAGGTGGTCTCTGCTCGATTGAAACGAACCCTGGAGCGGTTCGATTGCAGTGAGAAAGCGATCCGATCCGAGCACGGTTACATCACAGTGTTTTATGGATATGTAATAGGCTTACGGCTATATGAAGAGAGAAATATGAGTAGGGCAGGAAGTTCTTCTCACTCCTCCCCACCGTGTCTCTCCTCAGACACGGCGCACGCGCACCCTGTCAATCACCACCAAACCACCACCTCTCCTGACAGCTGAGCGGGACGCTGCAAAATAAACCCTGACACTCTGACCAATGTGAGGAGAGTTTACTCGCACGTGACTTGTTTTAGCTCTTTTAGTCCGTTTAGAAACTTTGCAATGTGAAAGCGAACCGCTCCAAGAGCAAAGAGCAACAATGTAACAATTTTAATCTCTGTTTCAGAACAACTGAATCGATTCACAGGTGTGAAAGCACCCTTAGAAATAAAAAACAAATGTTAAGTAAGGGCATGAGGAAAATTATGCCTCCTTTTTTTTTTTTTTTTTTTTTAAACCTGTTTGAAACAATAAATGCTTAACGCGGCATAGTCTGTCCTCATTTCGGAGTGTAGCCTTAATATAGGCAAATGGTAGTTATTATGACAAGAGACTCAGTTGTTGTTATTTTTAGTTGCTTTAATAGTGTGGACCACAATTTTCTTTTTGATCCTCACAATTTTGGAATCCAGTCGCGAGCCGGATTGAACGACTCAGCGGGCCGGATTTGGCCCGCGAGCCGCCAGTTGATGATCAGTGCTCTATAGTATCTGACATGCCCCGTCCACTTCTTCTCATTTGCTTTTCATTTGATGCTCTTGAGCTCAACCGCTTTCACTGACGCTATTGGCTGTTTTTTTTTTTAAAGGGGAGGAGCTACTCTCTGTCCCACCCTCTCTTTGTGTTTCAGTTGAGATTGCGTCAAACATCTAATAAAAAAAGCACATTTCAAAGCACTTCACTGGACCTTTGTTATAAATAACCTCTTCATGACCAGAATGTTGTTGTATGTGTGTGTGTGTGTCAGGCTGGAGCAGGATGTTAAGAAGCTGAAGGCAGATCTGCAGGCCAGCAGACAGACCGAACAGGATCTGCGCAGTCAGCTGGGCTCTCTGGGCACCTCCGAACGCAGCATACGCTCCGAACTCGGCCAGCTGCGGCAGGAAAACGAACTACTGCAAAACAAGTGAGACTCCCATTCTTCACCATAACATATAACCCAATGCAGTGCTCTAGCTGTGTTAATGCGAATTCTTTGTGTGCACGTTCAGACTTCATAACGCCGTTCAGGCAAAGCAGAAAGATAAGCAGACGCTGGGGCAGCTGGAGAAGCGTCTGAAGGCAGAACAGGAGGCTCGAGCCGCAGCAGAGAAACTGTTAGCAGAGGAGAAGAAACGCAAGAAGCTGGAGGAGGCCACGGCGGCCCGCGCTGTCGCTCTCGCTGCTGCAACCAGGTGCTCACACCTTCCCATCATGCCATTGAAAATTAAACAATTTATAGCTTCACCCTCATCCATCAGCAAACTATCACAAAATTCCGCTATTTCCCTCATCATTTCTGTACTCCTTTCCATGATGCGTGAATAACGTGTTTGTGTGTGTCAGAGGTGAGTGCACAGAGTCTTTGAGGAGGAGGATTTCTGAGCTGGAGGCCGAATGTAAGAAACTCACGCTTGACATCAAGGTGAAGGAAGATCAAATCAGAGAGCTGGAGCTCAAAGTTCAAGTGAGGAGACCTTCATGTTTTATTCAGCCTCAGTCAAACACAAAATCTGACTCTTCTGTTTGAAAAGTACAAAATAGACATTCAGCTCCTATTCCCTCTGCCGTGTCTCTCTAGGAGCTGCATAAATATAAGGAAAACGAGAAGGACACAGAGGTTCTGATGTCAGCACTGTCAGCAATGCAGGATAAAACCCAGCATCTGGAAAACAGCCTCAGCGCTGAGACCCGAATCAAGCTGGACCTCTTCTCTGCCCTCGGAGATGCTAAAAGACAGCTGGAGATCGCACAAGGTTTGTACTATATCTTTAGATTAGCTTTGATTGTTTATATCAGGGATTCCCAAACTTTTTTTATTCCGGGACCCACCTAGGCAAGTAATTCAATCTCAAGACCCACCATAATATTTTATTATGGAAAAATGGGTAAAAAAATGTAGCCATTCAAAGCACTCAAAAATATATGGTGTGCAGCTTTTTGGATTTTGCGATTTGATATGCACAAAATGAGGCTCAAAGTGCTTTTTGTGGGATGCTGGCTGTAACTGTGATCATTTTTTTGTTGAAAAAGATACTCTTCCTTTTTCAGAAGAGAATATGATCAACCTTTGATCAAGCCCATGGATTATGATCAAGCCCCGTCACATCGCAGTAACTCCACTGCTAGTTTAGTCATAAGAAACTAAATAGCTTTTTGATCGACTACTACAAGCTGGGAAAACATCAGATAAATATGCCAATGCAATTAACATTATTGCTGAATAGATATAATATTTACACATTTGCTTGAGGAAGGAATGATGGGGTAGTTACATTAATATTACTATTTTCCATAACATCTATGCCCTTCCATAACATTAGCTGACGTTAAAACTAACAGATAGCACTATAGCTATTTATTGATTAGCAATCTGTCAACGTTGGGATGTAAAAAATATTGGAAAACATATAGCTTCAAATGATAGAATACATAGCAAACATTTGAAAATATTGACAATGAAATAAAAGGTTTAGCCTATTAAAATCAATGGCCTATCCAGAAATTAAATAAAGCTATAAAATCTATTTCACTTTTGATTGTATTTGCATATTGATTAAAGTTACTAGTTTTAGTGAAGAGCAGCAAATGAATCTCTCATTGTGTTTTGTTGGATAAGGTGTTAATGTATGAATGCACAGATCTATAATGAAGCATTCGACTACTTTAATAACTGTTTGTGCTCATTTAAGAGAAAATTAGTAGTGTTTAAAATAAAACAAGCAGGACGGAGCAAAAAAAAAAAAAAGAAGCACTTTTCCGACGGCCTAACTTACTAAGACCTCCGCTCAGCGCGAGCTCTCCCGGCTAAACGCAGATTGCGAGAGCTCAAACGGAGCAGTGCTCATAATGTCGAGCGAAAAAAAAAGAAAAAGTCAGCTGTGAAACATAACCCGCTTTTTCTTTTTGTAGGAAACACACTTTAGATATTTTTAGGGTAAGAGGTTTTTAAGTTATTGCCGTCAATCGTACTGGTTTTGATTCACCGCAATGTAAATATAGTTGGACCTATGTGACGTTCCGCGACCCACCTTTGTTCACTGTGCGACCCACAGGTTAAAAACCCCTGGTTTATATGAACATATACTTTATTATCGCTTTCATTTCCAAAACACATTTAATGCAATCATCAGTCATACTAACAACATTTCCTTTGTACTGCAATTTTTCTTATTTTTACCCCTAGTTGTTTTTCATTTTTACTTTCTTCTATTAATTAATAATATCCACCACCAACCCTCGAAAGAGTTATTCAAAGTTCACCCAATAAAATTTAACAATTTTACACATCAACACTTTTAAATATGAAGAGTTCAGAAGCAAATCCCTCTAAATCCATCAGACCTCTTATCTTGTAAATGAGCCTTTTCTATCAGGCTCCTATAATTAGGTTCAGACATTTCATATGTATAATGTTACGACTTTTAAGTTTGGCTCTAGGGTTTAAAAGGTAACATTTAAAGAGATAACATTTTGTGGTGAGTTGGTGGCAAAATGTCAATTACGACAACCAAAATACTGCAAAAATAAGTGAATTTATTATTATTATTTTGAAGCATTCAACCTCAAATTTGACAGACTCCCCCAAACATTGAAAACAGAGTACCCGCGGGGCCTTAAAAGCATTGAAAAAGTCTTAAATTTTATAATGTTAAATTAAGATTATTAATGGCCTTAATAGCCTCGAATTTGGTATACAAGTTTTATGTAGTGGATGCACCTCGCTACGCATATAAGGTTAATGATGACCGCTATTAAAAGAGGTCACCCGGAGTCCCCGTTCCTGCTCCCCAAGCACTCACACACACAGGCCAAGTTGTCAAAAGTGGTAAAAGATTTATGAAACAAATATATCAGTATCAAAACCAAGGAACAAAAAGGCCAAAACAACAAACAAAACAAGGTACGCTACCTAATATTAAATTTCTTACCTAAAGCGAAAATAAAGTTCCGTAAATGAATCATACAATTCTACCCTCCATAACTATCCATTAAACATGAGAAAACAGGACAAAAGAAAAAGGGTCTTCCCTTTGATCATTCAGCAGTAAGTAAACATTTAGCCACAACTAACACAGAATACTGTCCTATTACCGTATTTAACAGAGTATCTCACCAGATGACTTTGGAAAAAGGTTTTAGACAGAAAGATATCACTGCCACACAGAGAACTCAGAGCGATCTGCTCACACACACACACACACAACAGTGAGGGGAAACAGGAAGAGAACTCGATGATGCTTTTATAACTGCCGCCGCCCCTCTCACAGCTGCACCTGATCTCCGCTCATGTGGAGAGAGAGAAAGAGACAGATAATAGAGGATACAACACACACAGGAACAATACACACAAGCAATGTCAAAATAATGCTACTCAATATGTAACAAGTCTTTGATTCTGTTACAAAGGTCTTATTTTATTCATTTATTTTTGCCTTTCGTAGCATCAAGTTCATACTGTAGCAAAATTAACTGTTACTTATGTAGGCTAATTAAAAATTTGTTCAGCGTAACGTTGAGAGCACCTCGCGCTCCTCGTCATAGCAGAAAGCGGGAAAGCGTGTCTCTGTGGTTACTGTACTAGGCAAGTGAGGTACTGAACAAGATATTCGCTAGCCTAGTTTGTCGGCTATAATGGGAAATTATCAGTTTAATTCGCTGTGGCCAAGGAATCCAAATTACGTTTACGTCAAACCTGTGCCAGGAAATGACTGCAACGCCCACTGCTGTTGTTGCCGGAAATCTTTCAAGCTAGCGACGATGGGTCGCTGCCCAGGACTCCCATATGAGGGGTGCCAAACACTCAACATGTAGTACTGCTCATCAGCGCCTGCCACCTATTGTGCAGTTCTGTGCACCGGAGACCTCTTCAGTTACTAAAACAGCTTTGGCAATCAGTGAAGAAGTGGCAATCAGTGAAGAAATTTCTACATTAGAAGCATTGCCACCACAGACAAGGAACAACCTATCTTACTGTGGCTTAACACAGTCTGTGGGCAGAGCTGAGGTGGGCCCCCTAAAACTATCTCAGAGCACCACTCTTACACATAAAATGAGAACATTATAGAGGTTTTCAAAACCATGTTTCCTGATTCTGAGGTTGCAGCTACGTTCTTGTGTGGAAGCAACAAAAGCGCATCTATTAGTAAATTCGGATTGGCTTCTTTTATTATTGAAGAACTGACCGACCAGGTCAATAAGGCCAACGGGTTTGTGGTCACGTTTGACGAAAGTCTCAATAAGATGACGAAAGAAAGCAGTTGGAGCTTCATATTCGCTACTGGGTGGACGACCACACTGTTGCGTATGTATTAAATATAACTAATAATTGAAATAAAATACTTTAATTAATTCAAACCTACTTTACATAATTATTTTGTAAGAGTCCAAATTTATACAGATTTGTCATTTTCCCCTCATACTTCTGTCGAAATCGGTGTGACGTTGGCATTGAATTTCATTTGAAATGGTATTAAAGGGTCTTTAAAAGCCTTGAATTTCATTTGGAGGATACCGGTGGTACCCTGGAAAAGCACTTAAAGTTGCTCTGTGTTTGTGTTCTTTTAGGTCAGATTCTGCAGAAAGACCAGGAGATTAAAGACCTGAAGCAAAAGATAGCAGAGGTGATGGCCGTCATGCCCAGTGTGGTGTATTCAGCAGATACAGGCAGCATGACCCCCGTCACGCCACATTACTCCTCCAAGTTCATGGACACCAGTCCATCAGGACTGGACCCAAACGCTTCGGTTTACCAGCCATTGAAGAAATGAATGCTTGTCTCTCACCAAAACAGACACGCACACATACACACACACAAACACAAACACACACACAGTATCTGGTTGTTTTTTTTTATTTTAGTTTTTTCTCCATAGGCCCAGATTCAGAATCATCTTTGGCATGTCTGTGGCTCAGATCGCTTTTTTGTTTTCGTCTTCTATTACTACAGCTTCTTGCCTGGTCAGAAGGATGTCGTATTGTGTGACTGTATTTGTTGTAGTAAAAAAACAAAGACAAAAAAGAAGACTTTTAAGGGACATCACACGTCGAGTAGGAAACTGCTGTTTCTTTTCTCTTGTAAATGTCTAGAAACCTCACAGAAGTCGGCGAGTATCTTCCCTCAGTCCATTCAGAGATCGCTCGCATCCATTTTTGCTCCTCTTCTTTGGATTTCGGCCTTGATTTTTACCTTTTATTTTTTTGGAGGATGCAAACGAAGCAAGGCAAGATCCGTTGTCCCAGGTGCTCTACCCCGTATCAGAGGCAAGAGGATTTTTACTTAAGAATGTCACCCTCTAATATATCAAGAATGTAACACAGTGTTCAAACAAACAAAGTCCCAAAAACAATACGTCAAAATTATCTCTCGAAATGCGTCAGTATGACAAGATCGCCAAATCCCGATCTTCTAGGACTTGTACGACGGACCGAAGCTTCAGTTCTTCCTCCTGCGACAAAGTGACGAACTGTACGCCACAAACCCAGTGAAAAATTCACCACTTTACAGATAATCAGTGCCTTCATGGGACCTCATTGGTGGAACCGAAAGATCTCCCTCCCTCATGCCTCACACACCCTTTATTTGGTCCCCGAACGGATCACCAGCCCGTTTGACAAGGCGACTCTGCTCCTGTTTTTGTGAATTGGGTCATTTGTTTACATTTATTTATTTATCTATCCGGCATTGCGCTATTGCACTGTTGACTTCGACGAGCTCGCAAGGGAATATGCTAAAGTACGAGAACACAGGAGACGTTTGCTTCGGTTTTCTTTATGGTATTTTGACCATCTTTCAGTATCAGACGAAAGCTTTAGTGTAGTCCGGTGCCAACTAAATAGTAGGACTGTCATTTTTGTTGGGGGGGAAAAAAAGTGTTTCAGATCCATCAGGTTGCTGGCTGGTCCAATGATCGGAAGCTAGAGGAGCGTATTATTATTATTGGTATGACTATTATATATAGTTTTTGTCTTGTTTTCAGAGATACACTTAGATTTGCCACTTGATGGCGCTGTTGCGTTCGGAAAGTATGGTTTTATTTGAGCCTCTTGGAAAGGTTTTCATTGGACCATCTACACTCGGTGAACACAGATCCAGACGTCATGCTTGATTTAAGTATTAAAGGGAAACGCCTTGAACTTTGACCCAACTTTCAGATTTGTGTTTAAGTGACTAGATTTTGCCAATATAGCAAGTTCTGGTTTACAAACAAGCAAACAAAAAAAAAGCGGGAAGCTGGTTACTGTGTTAGTATTTCATTGGTTAATGATGGGCGGGCGGGAGGGAGGGAGGGGGGCGGGGGTTAGCCGGAGTCAGTCATACTATGTGGTATTGTAGTGCTCTCAGATGGTTGTAGTTTTTGGTGTCTGTGTTTTTTCAAGCTATGATGGAGGAAGCGGTTTTTCTGCGACGTCCAAGTGGTTTAAGTGAAAGAAGGGGGAGGTGGGACAAAAGGCAGTTGTTTTGTTTTCTTTGCCCGCTGTCACTTCTCGCTTTCTGTCTGTTTTCCAGCCAGACCTCGGCTGCACTCTCTCTGTGAGGTCTCTGTGAGGTTTCAAGTAATAAAACGTTTTTTTCTGGCATCGGATTTTTCTCTTCTTGGTTGCTGTGTGTTGTAAGTGTTTGCTTGCATGCATGGGAGTGGATGCAAAGTGATTAATGGCGAGTAAACCTATTGTTTGTTTGTTTTTTATTCGAGTAAAGGGTTAATTTAGGAGGAAGAATGACATCCACATCCACATTTAAAGTATATAAATGAGTTCAAAAGTTTGTTCTCTATGCACCATCTCTTAATTTGATTTTTGTGGGGAACCAAAGACAAAACACAATAGTGGAGGAACACCAGATTTTCTGTTTTTTTTTAGTCTCTTTTTTTTTGCTGTAGTTTTATGAACAAAACAAATTACCATCATGCTTTTTTACATTATTTATAAGAAACAAAATGTAAAAAATACGTTTGAAACAAATTGAACTTTAAAAGGAATTTCAACTTACATTAAATGACCCTGTTAAAACGTTAAATTAGACCAGTGGTGGAGAGAGTACTGAAAAATCATACTCGAGTAAAACTACCATTACTTGCCTAAAAATGTAGTCCAAGTAGAGTAAAAGTATCTGTTGTAAATATTACTCCAAGTACGAGTAAAGTACGAGTACATTTAATTTGTGGATGTGTGTAAACGTAACATTCTGTAGTTATTGCCCAGCAGGCACACAACGTCATAAGATGTTAATATTAGGTTAGATTTAGGTTGTGATGTCAGGTTACCAAAATTTAATGTTTAGCCAGTGTCTAAGGACAATGTTATTGTGATGTCCAATAATGTCATCAAATGATGTTGATATTTGATTTATTTTAGCTTGTGTTTGAAAATTACCAAAATCCAACGTCGACCCAACATCTTAAACCAACGTCATATTGATGTCAAATCCTGACACGAATTCTTCAGGTATGGCAACCAAAATCTAACGTCTAATAGATGTCATAGTGGTAACGTCCACACAACATCAAGCTGTGACTTCAGATGTTGAAATTTTGTTGATTTTAGGTTGGACGTTGGACATTTACATTTAGTCATTTAGCAGACGCTTTTATCCAAAGCGACTTACAAATGAGGACAAGGAAGCAATTTACACAACCAAGAGCAACAATGAATAAGTGCTATAGGCAAGTTTCAGGTCTGTAAAGTCTAAGAAGGGAAGTATTAGTTTTTTTTTTTTGTACAGTTAGTGTGATATTCTGAGAGGCAATTGCAGATTAGGAAGTGTAGTGGAGACTAAATAGTTGGGTTTTTAGTTGTTTCTTGAAAGTAGCGAGTGACTCTGCTGTTCTGATGCAGTTAGGGAGTTCATTCCACCAACTGGGCAGATTGAGCGTGAGCGTTCGCGAAAGTGATTTCTTCCCTCTTTTGGATGGAACCATGAGGCAACGTTCATTAACAGAACGCAAGTTTCTGGAGGGCACATAGATCTGCAGAAGTGAGAGCAGATAAGAAGGAGCAAGGCCAGAAGTCACTTTGTAGGCAAACATCAGAGCTTTGAATTTGATGCGAGCAGCAACTGGCAGCCAGTGCAAACGGACTAGCAGCGGAGTGACATGTGCTCGTTTAGGTTCATTGAAGACCACTCGTGCTGCTGCACTCTGGAGCAGTTGAAGAGGCTTGATAGAGTTAGCTGGAAGCCCAGCTAGTAGAGAGTTGCAGTAATCCAGTTTGGAGAGAACAAGAGCTTGAACAAGGAGTTGAGCTGCATGTTTATTTCCTAAATGATGTTTAACAGATTCAGGAAATTTTCACAGTATGTCTAGTGTTTTTTTAAGAAGGGTCGGATCTTTCTGATGTTATAGAGTGCGAATCTGCACGATCGAGCAGTTCTAGAAATGTGGTCAGAGAAGTTTAGTTGGTCATCAATCGTTACTCCAAGGCTTTTCACCATTTTGGGTGCAGTAATGGTTGCCCCATCCATCTGGATTGAAAAGTTATGGTGTAGAGTCGAGTTGGCAGAAACTACAAGCATTTCCGTTTTTGCGAGGTTGCGAGGACATTGATGTTGACCTGACGTTGAGTTCCAACGTCAACCTGATTTTCATTTTCAAACAAAATGAAATCTCTAATAGCTGATTTATTTTATCTTTGCCATGATGACAATTTTCAAGATACTAGTATTCAGCTCAAAGTGACATTTAAAGGCGTAACTAGGTTAGTTAGGTTAACTAGGCAGGTTAGGGTAATTAGATAAGTTATTGTATAACGATGGTTTGTTCAGTAGACAATAAAAAAAAAAATACCTTAAAGGGGCTAATAATTATGACCTTAAAATGGCTTTTAAAAAATTTAAAAACAGCTTTTATTCTAGCCAAAATAAAGCTAATAAGACTTTCTCCAGAAGAAAAAAACACTAGACATACTGTGAAAATTTCCTGAATCTGTTAAACATCATTTAGGAAATAAAATTCTAAAATTTAAAGGGGTTTTAAAAATTCTAATTGCAACTGTATGACTAGACTATATTTAAATATAACAGACCGGCTCAAACACTCATAAATATGTCATTTTAAATCTTTAGATTTTGTGAATATCATTCAAACCACAAGGTTTTATCCATTTGACTGAAAAAAAATTTAAAATATGATGCAACAATTTAGCATATGATCACATACTTATTTATATATTTTATTATTTCACTAATTTATCCCTGAAACTTTTTCACAAAAATTATTTTAAACATAAATTTAGACTATTAATATGAATCAAGGTTTTGTTCTGTTTAAATAATTAAACAACTTTGTGTTTGGATGAATTACATTTATTTATTTATGTATTTGTTTGTTATTTGAACTAAGAGAAGGTATTACAGAATGTCATGATGATACTAAACTCATTCATTCATTTATTTTCTTGTTGGCTTAGTCCCTTTATTAATCCGGGGTCGCCACTGCGGAATGAACCGCCACCATATCTAGCACGTTTTTTTACGCAGCAGATGCCCTTCCGGCCGCAACCCATCTCTGGGAAACATCCACACACACATAAACACACACACTCATACACTGCGGAAACCGGAGCACCCAGAGGAAACTCATGCGAACGCAGGTAGAACATGCAAACTACGCACAGAAACGCCAAAGCGACCTTCTTGCTGTCAGGCGACAACACTACTTACTGCGCCACTGCTTTGCCCATGATCAGATGCCAATGACGGTACAGTATGGACAAATGACAGTCTATAAAAATCTCCAGTAATGCACAAAAAAGCTAGAGGGGTCTGAAAAGTCGCTAAGTTGGCAACACTGTTCAGCAAATCATTTTTTAAAGCAAACTAATTAATCTAAGAAGTAACTTGAGTTACATCTTTTAAAAAAGTAACTGAAATATATTAATTTGTAAAGTGATGTGTCTCTTTATTCATTACTTACAGTAATATTATTATGTAACTCACGTTACTTGTATGCATTACCCCCAACACTGGTTATAACAAAGTCTTTGGTTATAATTTGGCATCTGTGCATATTACTTAAATGCATG